TAGTCTGAGGATTATTTTGAAGATCGTTTAAAGTGGAATAAGACTGCAAAGTGGTTAGCAGAGAACTTGGCATGTGGTTGTTTTTAAGGTTATGTGCCTCTAATGGAGGTTATAGTATAATATATAGAAAATAGAATAAATATGTTTTCCTGGTGATTTCTTAAACAAGAAGCTTGCTGTTCAGCTATATTTGAATCAGGTTTTATATACATAATTCACAATTACGTTTCCTATAATGTCTCTTAATAATTGTGAAATATTGTATAATAAAGACCACATTATATACATTTTAGCCCTAAAATACTGACATTAGCTTCTCTCCTCTCCTCTCCCCCTTTTTTTCCTTTCATACCCAGCTATGCTTAGGGCTTATTCCTGGCTCTGTGTTCATGCAGGGTGGGTGGGAAGTGGGGGGCTGGGAAGGGGGAGGGGAGGAGCATACGGGGTGCCAGGGATCGGGCCCAGGTGTGTGGAAGGTCCAGCCGACATGCTGTACTCTCTCTCTGGCCTCAAGCTAGTTTCTGTTTTTAAGCAATTGTTTCAATTAGTAAGTCACCTTGATTTTGAAATACCTTTATTGGCATTATAGTTCTTTTGACAACTTTTCATGGAATTAAAGAGAAAAGGTTAACCATATGTATCTGCATGTCTGCTTTATATCATTTTGTTGATCTCTTGTATTTGGAGTGTTAGCAGTGTGGTTCTCAGAAATAAAGCTGAGACTGTCAGGAGAGGGGCAGATGCTTCATTTTGGGCTTATTAATAGATGCGTATGGTTGAAGAGTTACAGCTGAATATTTATGCGTAAAGAATAGGAAAAGCCTGTGAGTACGAAAATAAAATATTGTCTTAGTAATTGTGCAGTTCCTTTGCCGTAATGTTCAAACGAGCTCTGCTGTTACGGTCTTCTGCTTGTGGGAGTTTATGGTTTTCGGATCCCACTGTTCTCGGGGAGGCCTCTCCATCATGAAAGTATAATGTGTCAATTGTGTTTACGACGCTGTATGAACTTTATGCAGCATTTACTCATTCCTCCTCAGTAGAGGCTTTTCATTCAGGGTTGCCCTTCACAATTCCTGCCGCAGTCTAAACCGATTTGCTTCTTGGAGCTCCCCCTCCTACCCTTTCTGTCTTCCATGGCAACTCACGTTCACTTTGATCTCTTGCCTTTGAGCTGGACCCCTGAGGCAACTTTTCTGGCTCATCTTTTCTGGCATTTTACCTCTAAATTTTTCAATAGCATGTCTCTATTACTATTCTTTAAATTTTTTTATTCTCTTGAATTTATGATGAAAGATGAACGTTCCCTCTCCTTCCCCCTTCCATTGCCATATTATTCCTAAATTCAGTATTTGGAACATAATGTTTATTCTGTTAACCCCAGTGGGGGCTATTTTTTATTTTCTACCCAACCTCTACTATAATCCCTAGTGCAGGACGCTTACTTTTTTAGTTGAACTGAATAAAATATACTTTTTTTCTGCTTTTAATCTATTTTGTTTGCCTTAAAGATCAGAATTTAAAATGCAGTTCTTTAATTTTTTAAATTGGAAAATGCAGTCTTAAAAATTATCTAACAATAATATGACTGAGTTATTAAGAAATACATTTTTACTTTTATTGTTCAGGGATGATCTTTTAAGAAATATTTTATAATAATCAGTTCACTATATGCTTTTTTCAGTATTAGTTATAAGTGGTTGGTTGGTTCAAGTTTCAAGTTTGAGCATTTGGGCTATTTCATGCTCACTTTAATTCAGGTGTCAACTGAAATTGACCAGTATCTTATATTTACATAGAATTGTAGAGAGAACATAAGAGAACAAAAACATTTATTGCATATAGTAAAGATAGTAGTCAAAGTATTTCTCTTTTCCTTCTTCCTTCCTTCCTTCCTTCCTTCCTTCCTTCCTTCCTTCCTTCCTTCCTTCCTTCCTTCCTTCCTTCCATCCATAGTGCTCTGGGATCTTGCCTGATAGGACTTGGGGGACTATCATATGTGGTGCTGGGGATTGAAACTTGGATCTGATGTATGCAAGGCAAACGTCTTACTGTCTGAGAGGCAGTACCCTGAAATATTTCTGTGCTAGCTGAATTTTTTTTTAATGACTGGTATTTTTAGATTAAAAGGTTAAACAAATTAGTGGTAAAATTTTGAGATTCAGTGATTTTTAGAGTGTTGTGTTAGTTTTAGTGTAGCATACTTTCTCCTTTTTTTCCCTCATAACTTCCAAATGTAGAATTTATCATAGCGTGGTTCACATCTCTGGGATTAATATCTTTCCTCTGTTAATGATGTATTCTTTGAATAAATATTTATGGTTTTTAGTCACTATGAAAAGAATTCTCATGAGTGCATGTGAGGTCATTATGTAATTCAAAAGGAAAAGGATAAATATGAAAAAGTAATAATCCAAAAATAAGAATGAGTTTAAGATATTAGTTTTTTTATTGTACTAAATATGAATAGTTGTCTTAAAGAAAACATCGGACTCAGCTAGAGTACCTTGGGAAAAGAACAAAACTTTGTGGTATCTAGCCCTTAAACATCCATAGGTGAAAATAGAAAACTTGGGATAATATGCTTTTACTTTTCAACTTTATCTTTCCAGTCCACTGTTTACTCAGCCTCTGAAAACTTATGGTCCTGGTTTGGAGCAGATGATTACAATTAAGTGTTAAATTAAGTATGTACTTTCTTGAATTACTCCATGATCATTTAAAGCATATTTTATGGGTTCAAAAGGTAAGTTGCCAAAGACATAATTTTAATAGGAGCAAGGCCTCTTTCCTTTAACCAAACTTGTAGAAGTGCTCCATAAATGTGCATGAAAACTGGATAGAAATACCTTGTTTAAATATTTTTCAAGCCAGTGAATTCGTCAACGGAAAAAAAATACACAGATAACTTTGAATGTGGCTTGTGTTTGTCCTCTCACAGGGCTTCTGTCCCATAGATGATGCTTAGGACAGCTCATTCTTCATATGTGCTTTGAGTTTCTGTAAACTAAGTTTGTCAGAACTCTTCTCATTCTACTTTTAACTTAGAGGTCTTTTAATTCTTTTCAGCTTTTCTGTAAAACAGGCATTTCAGAGCTCTTGGAATCCTTCCAAGTACGTACCGAGAAGCTTTTCGTTGGGACATTGGCACCTTGTATATCTGACCTTTTTGGAAGGTGTATATAGGGAATCCTTTTTTTAGGACACACCCAACCCCCCGTAATTTGGGCGCTTCCTTTCCTTCTCTTCCTTTCCTTTGCTGTTTATAATATCTTTTCTGAATTTGTCAGAAAAGAAAAAAGTATATGTTCATTACCCACTTTAAGTGCTTTGAACAAGCAATATTTTCAGAGGCATTTGAACTTGATGAGGAGGCAAACAGAAATATCAGAACTAAGGTGACACAAACAGGTGTAACGAGCAGGGTCGAGTGTCTGGACTATAAATTGTAAATTAGAGCTTTTGGAATCAGGGCTTTTATACATGTGACTTTTTCAGGAAAGTGATGCTCATCGGCATCCCTGCAGCTACTACCATTGAGTCCAATCTGTCCACAGTCTGCTTTTTCAGAAATAAGCGACAGTAATTTAATACTTTCTTATAATTTCTATCCTAATTATGCCCTTAGAAAGCATAACTTAATGGTTTAGTCACAAGAGCCTGTGTTTCTGTTCTTCATTCTTCTTCATCTTCTTTTTAGTGCTTTTTGGGCCAGACTGACTGCTCAGGGCTTACTCCTGACTCTCCACTCAAGGAATACTCAGGTGGCACTCATGGGACCATATGTGGTGCCTGGGATCAAACCCAGATTGGCCATATGAAGGCAGGTGCCTTACTTGCTGTACTGTCTCTACAGCCTCCTCTGAACTCTTTAATGGTAATAATAATAGAGAAAATAATAATGATGATGTCTACATTATATAGGTTGTCCTAAGGATTTATTGGGATAATTCATATAAATGCACAGAATGATCAACTTTTCAAGATTAAATTATAAGACTAGCAGTATGAATCATTTTATTTTACCCTCTTTCAGAGAATTTTACATTGTGTATATAGTTTTAATATTCTTTAAGCCAGGTACTAAAAACAAGGGCCAGAGCGATAGCACTGCAGGCAGGGCCTTGCATGCGGCCAACCCGGGTTCGATTCCTCCGCCCCTCTTGGAGAGCCCAGCAAGCTACCGAGAATATCTCGCCCACATGGCAAAGCCTGGCAAGCTCCCTGGGACTATTCGATATGCCAAAAACAGTAACAACAAGTCTCAAAATGGAGACGTTACTGGTGCCCCCTCGAGCGAATGGATAAACAATGGGAGAACAGTGCTACAGTGCAGTGCTACTAAAAAATGCTACAACTTATATAAAACTTACCCTTGAAACAAGAGTTTCATAAATTCAATTTTGTTTTTAAAATGGTTATGAATAAACCTTTAGACAATTAAGAGTAGTTTGTTTGTTTCGGTGGGACCTCTTCATGATTCTTGGGGAACCATGTTGCTAGGGATCAAACCCAGGGCTCCTACATGCAAAACATATTTTCCACCACTTGAAGATTTCTTCCTGGCCCTAGGGTGGTTTATATATTTTGGATTTTAATATAAAAGATTATTCTAAGTTTTATTAAGTCAAGTATCTCTAGTGATAAGATTAGATAGCTACTCTGGGTATACTAGTGTGTGGATTATATGGAAAAGGACAATTTAGGCATACCAAAATATAATTTACAAGAAGACAAAATTGGGACTTTAATCCAAAAATAAGATGCACTAACACATCGTCTAAGTTGGGGCTGAAGTGATAGTATGGTGGTAAGGATGTTTGCCTTGCACATGGATGACCTGGTTTAATCTCCAGCATCCCAAATGGTCCCCTGGCTGTGGCCAGGAGTAACCCACCTACCCACCCACTCCCAAAAATCCACAGTAAATAAGTAGTGACAGAATAGGTAAGATGTTAAAGCCATCTTACGCATTTCCTGTTTTATCAAAGATATTTCCCTGCAGATGTTCTCGCTATTCTGATTTTGTAACTAATCAGAACAGGCGAAGCATTCAGTATAATAAGACCAAGCATTTGTCCCCAGACCCAGTTTTTTATCTACGTTGGTCTGGTCTTAGAAATGCTCATGATACATTTAAAAAAATATATTTTTCCCTCCCCAGTTTTGAAGACATTTAAGTTGTTATTTTTCAAGAAAAAAATTACATTTCATGTACTTCACCTTAGTACTAGTTTACAATTTAGTTATGCACCTAAATTGGAAAAAAATTATTCTTAAATAACAACAGTTGCTCATTAATTGGATATATGTGGTGGTTGGGTTCTGTATAACATCTCAAACCTTAGGATCAAATTGGGTGCCAGTACTCTTGTTTCTTATATTAATTTTACTTTAGATTGCAGGCTTCACTTGGAAGCTTAGATGGAGACCTGGCTCTCTTCTATGGAATGCCTAGTCTAGTAGTAGTCTGCGTTCTCTCTCACAGTCGGTTGCTTTGACTCTCCTGCCCCTCTTCCAGCCCCTCATTTGAAATTTCCCTGCACGCTCCTGAGACTTTGCTGCCTTACTCTGGCTGTGGTACAAGATGGGGAGCCAAAATAATGGATAGTTTTCAGATGGGCTTTCCCCTCGCATAACTTCGAAAGACTGAGTTGTTTCCCTTTGGCTTTATTTCAAAGTTCTGAATGAAAATTTTTAACAAGTACCCTGGGGAGTTTCTATTTAATTAGAATTGTCAATTTTTCTCCGTAAACTGCATGTGGAATTGTCTTATTTATTGTTCTGGTAGACTCTGTTTTTCCAGTTCCTGCCAAAAAATCTGTTTTGGTAGACTAGTTAATCATGCCACAGTTGCATAGTAGAGATATAGGATGGCAGGTTCTAGAATTTTTTGTTCTATAAACTTTTTGAGCACATCAGAGTTTATGTAGACTGTATATTGACCAGTATTACCTTAAAAGAGTCAAACTGAGAAAAGTTAAAATATTTGATTTTGAGGAGCTGGAGAGATAGTGCAGAAGCAGCTGACCAGGGTTCGATTTCTGTCACCTCATGTCAGAACACTGTCAGGTTTGGCCCAAACAGACAAACAGAAAAAGAGCAATAGGGCCAAAGAGTTAGTACAGAGACCTAAGACGCTTGCCGTGAAGCTGGTCAACCGGGGTTCATCCCCAGGACAGCGAGCACCACTGGGAGTATCAAGCCCTGAGGATAGTCAGGTGACAAACCAATCAAATCCATTATATTGACCTAAATAAACTTTTTAAAACTAAAGTAAGAATTTTATAAAAGAAAAAGAAGAATGGCACTGTGATTTTTTTTTCTTCTTTTCCCCAAATCTCTTTAATGCCTGGCTTAAGAGAAAGCAGCTGTATTCTGTCTGCTTCTGCTTCTTGTCTGTGGTGACATCACAAGTCATGGAGCCTCTGGCAAACCCCATTTGCACTTGGGTAAATGAAAGTGAAAAAGATAAGTAATGGTTGTGTGTTAGTGTGAAAATGGTTTAACCTGTTTCTGGTTTAGAATGGAGCTTTACCTTCTCAGCCTAACACTTTTCAAATGTGGATGTGGTTTGCCTGTTTTTTGGTCTTAGTTCGTTGTGGAGGGCCTAGGAATAATTATTTTGGGCTTTGCAGGGTGTAATGGTCTTCGTCAGAATGAGTCAGTTCTGACCTTGTGCCATACATCAGTCATAAACTATAAGCAATTGGGTGTGGATTGTTTCATTTAAAATGTTTACCAGAAGATACACCCCCAACATTTTTAGGTATAGGGCACAGACAATGAGGCCTCAAGTTGCTGACCTCTGCCCTTCAAAGGGAAGTCACTGCGCAAATAGGTTAAATGAGTAGCTGAATAGATACCCAGCTGGTAAGTGACGCTTTCAAACCCAAGTGTTACTAGTTTCATAGCTGCCAGTTGCATAAATAATTGCTTGAATTATTCATGCTGTCCTCACTAACAAGGCTAATGTTACAAATTAAATGGAGATTTGGTTATTGATTATAAAACAAACATCTAAAATTTGTATAAGGTCCAGCATTGAATCTCCATACTTACCTAAGATCACGATCACGATCACGATCATCCTGTTACTCGTCGATTGCCTCGAGCAGGCCCCAGTAACGTCTCCTTTGTCCTAGCCCTGAGATTTTAAAAAGTGCCATATTCAAGGCTCTTTCAGGTTAGAACAATGAGACCCATCATTGTTACTGGTATTTGGCATATTGGGTACACCACGGGGAGTTTGCCAGACTCTGCCCTGTGGGCAGGTTACATTCGGTAGCCTGCCACATTGTCCAAAGTAAAAATCAGATAATAAGATGTCGCACTATATATAGTCACAGTCAGTCAGTCACAGTCCTCCCGTTGTTCATCGATTTGCTCGAGCGGGCCCAGTAACATCTCTATCATGAGACTTGTTGTTACTGTGTCTGGCATATCGAATACGTCACGGGGAGCTTGCCAGGCTCTGCCGTGCAGGTAAGATACCCTCGGTAGGTAGCTTGCCGGGCTCTCCGAGAGGGGCGGAGGAATCGAACTCGGGTTGGCCATGTTGGCTGCGTGCAAGGCAGACGCCCTACCCGCTGTGCTATCGCTCCAGCCCTAGCAGTAGCTTTTTAAAAAAGAGATCTTGCTTTGGCATTTGATGAACCTGAGTAAAATAACATGACAGAATCATGCCATGAAACTTAGAATCATGGAGATGAAAACAATAGTAACAAAGGACTTGGCTGATGCCAGAGCAGAGTGTATGTTTAGAAGTGGACAGGGCGAAGAGAAAGCTTCTGAAGCAGGCTTTCAGGGATCCAGAGACAGAGTTCAGAATTCTTCTGTGTAGACAGTTACTTTAACTAAGACTAAACTATAGTGGTTGCTTGTGAGAATTCAGAAATTGGCAAATTCCAGACCCACAGATAAGCATAAAAATCTTTTAAGATTTTTAACAAACTGAAAAAATACGAAGAGCCAGAGTGATAGCACAGCAGGGAGGGCTCTTGCCTTGCATGTGGCCAACCTGGGCTCAATCCCCAGCACCCCATATGTCTTCCGAGTACTGCCAGGGGTAATTCCTGAGTGCAGGTGTGCCTAAGAACAAAAGTAATAAGAGTTTTAAAAAAGACCACACCAAGTCTTCTTTTTGCGGGTCCAGTCCAAACTTCTAACAAAGTTACCACGATTCATATATATAACTTCTTTTATTGCTCTTGACTCAGATTTATGATTTTGTTAATATAATTTTGGACCGATTTTAGAACTGCTTTTTAATGCCTTTGGTATTTATTGTCTTTTTTCCCACCAAAGATTTTTAGCATTTATAGATTTATAGTCGACAGGAGAGATTTCCAACCCAGTTCGGGGGGTGGTGTGGGGAGAATCACTCAGTGCCCGCCAGGAAATCTATCTTCTTTAAATGAACTGACAGAAAGCACATCTCTACCATGCTGAGACGACTAGCCCCACCCTGCCTTGTCCCCTGTCCCCTCGGGGAATGGTATCCCCCACTTTGGGGAAAGTGGACCAGAGTCTGTCAACTCCAACACTGTATTACAGAAGCTGCTCACTAGTAAGAGCGTTAACCTGATTCTTGGCGGGGCAGGGGACACCTCGTGGTGTTCAGGGCTTTCACCTGGCTCTGTACTTGGCATCATTCCTGGTGGCACTTGGGGACACCATTGTGATGCTGGGAATTGAACCAAGTCGGCCACTTGCAAGGCAAACACCTTACCAACACTGTACTAGTTCTCTGGCCCCATTAATTGGAGTTTTTGGATGGATGGTGTTCACTGTTGCAACTGTATCCTCTCTGAATGGGGTTTCATTATTTGGCATTGCCTTCAGATTTGAAGGGGAGGTATTAAATATTTTTCCTGGAGCCTCCAGTGCATTTTTGGATGGTTACTGAAAAATCAAAGAGTAGAATAGAAAATAGCACAGTATTGATTACCATGACTTTATGATGGAAAGATAAGAGAGCCCAGATCTGTAAAATGGGGTTATCATTTGTTGAGATTCTTTGCTAAATGGTTTATAAATTATTTCCTGTCTTCTTCTCATGCCTTGAGGTTTTTATTATTTTCTTTGCATTTGCAGTTGAGGAATGGAGACTTAGAGAATTTTAGTAACGGAACTCTGGAGTTTAGAGATATTTTGAAGACTTGTTTCAGTAATTGTGTGTCTTCACTCCTTAAGCAGTTCAGTGAAATTATTGGGGGTTGGGGAGCAGTTACACTAGTCTTAGTCCTGCATTTCATTCAGAACATTCAGATACAGAGAGGTATTATGTGCTGGGGTGGAAGTGCTACCCAAGAGCAGATCAAGTCAGGATTTCTAAAGTGTTTTTGTTTAATTATAGCAAAAAAAGAGAAGAAAAGTATAAAATGTGGTGGCTTCAAATAAAAAAATAGGCGGGTTTACTTTTTAGTTTCTGGTCTAGAAAAACTTACACAAAACTTTGTAGAAACTCCATGTTTCTAGAAAGGAAATCTTACGCAAACCTGGCTGGAAACGGGCACAGAAGCAGCTGTTGGTGGAGAGTTGCCAGAGAGAAGACCCCGTCTTGGAGTCTCGGACTGAAGGGCCTTTGGAATCTTGTTTTTCTTTGTGAACCTTGACTGTCCAGAAAAAAACCAAATAGGAGGCTCTCCAGACCCTCTGTTTGATTTTTTATTTTTCCCCTGACCAGGGCTGGACACCTCCGCTATAGACCATAAACGTTAAAAATCTTTGGTGGAAATAAGACAGTGTATCCACAGATACCACAGTGACTCCCGGAGCCTGCCCTGCAGGTGTCTGGCTGTGTGCTTCACCCCTGATGCTGCCACAAGGGCTGGATGTGTATGATCCTCAGAAGGCTTCTGCCTCTCTCAGTTGACACAGTGACTCCTGGCCTCTGCATGGCCCGCTAGGTGGGAGCTCCACAACTGGAATATTTGGTCACTAGTGCTCAGGAGTACACGTACCAAAGAAATCCGCCCTTTATGGAGTAATGGAGTATTGCAGCCGTGTGTACAAGCCCCGCAACTTGCTGTGTGACCCAGTCGTCATCTTCTGGTCACGTGTGTGCACCACAACCCAGCATGGGCAAGATGCCTGCCATTGTCACAGTGAAGGGAGCAGAGGCAAAAGCGCTA